ACACAGATCCCGGTATTGGATTAAGCAACATAGGCAGGCGCCGGGTGCTCCAGTGTATCATAGCAAGGCGCAGGCCCCAAAGCGTTCAGGTCATGACAGTCATTCGTATCAGGCACAAGATCCGTATGTTCACAAGTCGCCACGTCCCCATCCCCCGTCGACCCCAGCAGCTTCGGATGCAGGATATGCTCCCCGTACAGCGGCGGCGGTTCTCGAATGTCGTGGATCGTCTTGTTGCAGATGGATCCATCCGGTCCGATCACCGAGGGGGTCATGTAGATGCAGAACGGGATGGATTTTGCCGTCTGCGCCAAAGTCAGCCTAAGTCTCGCGTCCAATCTTGACATACTCTGGCAACATACCTCATTAAAAACCTGCCCGGTGGCATCCTGGAACTCGGCGCTCACCACCAATCGATGGCTGATCTTGATGCGCTTCGTCGCCGTCGTCTGCGAGCAGGAATCAAAACTCGGGGGCAGGCAAGCCAGCTTGCTGATGCACCATTCCGTCGCCGCGGAGTCGCACCGCGAATCGTCGGCGTGCACCGCCGCGACTTCGAACCGCTCCGTGAAGATGGTATGGTTCTTCAGGGATGTGATCGAGTAGATGTTGTCGCGCGCCGACTGCGCAGCCGTAGCGTCCAGGCGGATGAAGTGCTTTTCCGCGATCTTGACGGTGACAGCGAGAAGTTTGACGTCCTTGGACAAGGCTGTGAATTGGCAGTCGACGGGGAACCGGGAGCCGAAGGGGATGTAATGGCTGGGCATCGAGACCGAGTACTGCAGTTTCTGGTCGAAGCTCCCTCCTGCTGTCTTCACACGGTGTCAGCACTACGGTTTCACAGCGACAAATGCAGTAGCATACCGGCGAGAAGTCCGACGTGAGATAGTTCGCCTCCAAGTCCGAATCGTGGTAAATCCGGACGGGTTTCGAGACCACGAGATTTCTCCGGTACCGAAACGCCACCGTCGCCTCGACCTTATAGGAGTGATAATTGTGCTTAACGCCCGTCACCGTCTCGAGGAACTTGCGCGGTAGTGGGATGTCGAAGGGGAACTCATACTGCCCTTCCGGCATGGGAAAGGAGCCCAGCGTCTTGGAAGAGGCAAGTACTTGCTTGTGTTCGCATGTGCTTTGCACGCGGTCTTCGGCGATCATGAAGCCATCGCGAGGTCTGGAAGCAGCGCAGTCAGCATGTTGCTTTCAAACAAGTCAGACTCGATCAGATAACGTACACATGGAGCATTCCTTTCAGTTTCACTTTAATGCTCTTGATGCGCACACCTGGGGGAAAAGTAACGTTGAATGACCCGGTTATCGAGGGAGTCGTCGCTGAATTCCGTGCCTCGGGCATGAATATGCATGATTGGTCAAGCCTTTAGATGAGAGTGTTTCACATGGAAGTTGTGTTAGTGGTTGCCATACATCTAAGCGACCCAGCTACGAAAGGACAGAGGGGGAAAAGAGTTCTTACCTGAGATCATAGCTGGTTATCTTCTGACGAAACATCAACAAGGCGGGCTACTGAGAAAATTTCAGTATGGTTCCGATGGCGATGCTAGTGCGAGAAGCAAGTACAACTGATCGGTTATAAAGAATGAAGCCTTGGAGGTTGCGCATTCTTGAACCCTGGCTTCTATACTTCTCCTTGCATTGATGGTAGCATCCCGCAAGCACGCGGACTATCCCAATCGGGGGTAAAAGCTCTAATTTTCTTCATCGCCATTACATCATCTCCCAATGATGGCCGGGAAAAATCGTCACTGGAGCCATCCCTGGGGGAGGTTGTCACGACCGGCCTGCTGCGAAGGGGGTGCTGGTGTTTTCCTGGGATCTGCGGCATCTCGAACGGTCAGAAAGATTCGAGGAGGCTGTCTGTACGCGTACTATGCTTTCTTGGCTCGCTAAGGGGTTCAGTGATTTGTTCGTATGTAGATGTGTGTGACATAGGAGGGCAAGCCACCAGACCAGAGATAACTGTCGGCGATGTAACTATGAAAGTGATGCCTGAGGTTCTCGCTGCCAAGGGCTAGTAAAAAGACGGATTACTGCGTCCACGGACCAAAAGGGCAGCTCGCAAAGAGTGCCGAATGATCACATGATGGTCTCAGTCAGAGCCCTCTTTCCGGACATTGAATCGTCTGAGTGTACATGACCTGGGCTCGTTGTACTGCTGGGGTCTCGCGCATATCGCGCCGCGCGAAAGAGAGATTCCCAACCCCTCATTGCCCGCCTTGAGGGGAGCTTTGATGACAGCCCATGGTAAAGACGCCACAATGCACAAAGAGCCAACGATGACCATTCATTATTTATGCATCGTCCAGTTCTCGATTCGGGTATCCGTCTGATAGCCACGGGTTGTGATAGTGTGGTCTGCGACTTGTACTGTCTCCTCTGTCCACTCAGTCGTGGCAGTCACGCGGGATCCCATTTTCGACGATGCCCCCACTTTAGTCAAATGTGCGATTAGCACTCGCATGGATCGATCGGACCGCAGGTTCAGGGCTCAGAGGTTTCCCAGTCTGGTGCTGCAGGTCTGTAGCCGAAGTGAAAATTGTCGTTGTTCTTGTCTGGCGGGGACGAGCGTCTGCGCAATAGACTTCAGGGAATGTCTGGGTTTAGGGTCAGTAGCGGGCAGTGGATTGTAAGTATGCTGTTACGTTTGAAATGGCTAGGTCAGTCAAACTTCCCACTCCGTTCCTTGTTCCTCTCAATGCTCATGTAACTCGTCATTATTGGTACTATGCACATATATAGAACATTATGTATGGGTGGTAAGCCGAAAAAAGTGGTCCTCTCAATGGTGATATATATTCTTCCGTTCATTTAGCAGCCAAAGTACCTCTTCTCGATCCAGCGCGGCTCGCGTTCCTCTTCAATCCGTCCGACAACCAACCGAACATTGGGGTAGACGGCGCTGAGTCGCTTGAGACCGATCTTACCGGCCGCACAGGTGACAAACACAATCCGCTCTTCGCGCACGCCGTGGTCGATCAGCACGCGGACGGCCATCAGGGCAGCACCTCCGCTCGACATTTGCGGGTCCAGGAGCATGACATTCTCGTGCTCCTCAATTCCGGGGGGCAGTTTGAGGTAGTGGAGCTCTGGCTCTTCGTTCTTTTCATTTGTCTGGATAAGTACACGACCGGTGATGCAGTCGGGGATGGTGCGCTTGAGGGCGGTCTCGAGGCAGGACCCGCCCCGCAGGATGGCGACGGCGGAGACAGTGCCGGCTTGATTCAAGCCCTGGTAGGAATTGTCGTGGGGGGTGTGTACTTCCTTGGGGATATAGTTGGTCACATCCAAGGCTCTGTCATAGTGATTCGATCATTAGTCGATTGCCTCTATCCGTTGATGGAAGTGTCCACTTACTTCTCGATCAGTAGGGCAGCAAGGCGGTCGAAGTAGAACACAAAGTCGACCTGCTCTGTTGCAGGATCTTGCAGGATCGTGTTCATGCCGATGAATTGTGGCGTTTCATGCATGACGACGACGTTGGGAGACAGCTTCTCCTCCGAGGCAAGGAGACCGAGACGAGTGAGTTCTGCACTGTGCTTCTCGGACTTCTCGTCCAGGTTGCCCTGAATGTGTTTGACGACCATGTCTGCGCCATTAGCTTGGAGACAGCGCACGGCATGGCTTAGGCTTACCAATAGCAGTTCTGTTCTCGATTCCACGAGGAATGATGAGATCTAAAAACTGGTCAGCTTGAGACAAGAGCAACTTGCGGATCTCTAAGCTCACCTGATACTGCTCGTTGAGGTTCAACATATTTCTTGTAGGAGGGCTTGACATAGGTAAACCACTGCTTGATGATTCCCTCAATGTCTCTTCCTCGCTCACGGACATCACGCATAACTAGCGGTTGTTTAGCATTGCACAACACAAGAACGTAGATGATGCAGCGACTCACTTCTGCGTCCCAGACAAATATCCATATCGGCTTCTACGAAGATCTGTACAATGGTAAGCGTGTATGCGAGCTAAAGAGCGACGAGAACCCACCTTGACATCCAACAGTTCCATGATGCGCGGGTCATGCAAAGCCAAGATACCCTCCAAGATGATCACGTGCGGGGAGTAAAGTGTCGTTGTTTGGGGCTCACGTTGGTGTTTGGCAAACGAATATACGGGAATGTCTGCCTTCTTTCTGAATGATTTAAAACAAATGGGTCAGCTTCGTAGGGAGTGTGGTGCATGCGGATGATCACACAGGATGGTCACTGTACCCTTGTTTCAAGTCCCGCAGGGTCTGCACCAAGACATCAAAATCTAACGACTCGGGACAATCGAAGTCATAGTCGTTGGCATGAGCCCTGGCATGCTCCTCTGGGGTTAAGCTTTTATAGAAGGAGTCCTGTACCACAGCACCGTCAGAAACCAATCATATTGCACACATCGAAACCCCGATAGACCGATAGGCGAGCTATTCGGGTACTGATAGATGAGATGTACCATTACGAGAATCACCACCCATGGCAGATTCAGTGACTTGACAATCTCCATTGCCACTGAAGTCTTGCCCGAACCTGAGCTGCCCGCGATACCAATGATGCTCAAATCAGCCCATGGTGGCGAGTACTTCTTATCCTTGTCCGTAGCGGACGAAAACACTGGTGAGATGGACTGCATGATTTAGATATTCCTCCCCAAGGAATTGACAGGCCGAAATACGAATCAGATGAGTCCAGAAGCAGTGGTAATCATAACAGGGGGAGGACGGTGAGGGGAGGGAAGAAGAAAAAAATAAGAGTCCCCGATTGATTGTCTCAGGATAAGGCTTTGGAGGAGGGACCCGATAAGAGAGGGGATTTGGCAGGCGATACACGATAGACGGACTGCCAAAAGCAGTGATCGCCGCTTAACTTCTTCAAGGTTAGCCTCGGTCCGTGACCTTCGCTTGCGGTTTTAGGCTTAGCTGATAGCACGTGATCTAACAGCTCCCGCTGCATTTCCTTAATTTCGGTCCGCCTGATTTCTTCCTCCACTTCTCTTCTCTTCTTACTCACTCACTCTCTCTCTCTCTCTTGAAAGCCACCTCATGGCTCGCGCCTGCGAAGCTCTCCATCTTCACAGACCGCCGGTGGCTCAGTACCAAGGAAGTTGATCAGGTTGATCTTCCTCCAACTGCAATTATGTCCTCAGCAAACTACGTATGCGCCCTGATGTGCTGTGCATGCGTCGTTGCTTGGTTTTAACGGGAAACAGATGTCTCCCTCTTCCCCAACAGCAACGCCGACATGGCATCAGTTTGAGCGGAAGGTTGATGAGGTGAAGCCGTCCAAAACGTGAGTTTATCTTGCCCACTCTCTCTTGCCCCCTTTGCATTACTTTTCTATGATGATCTTGAAAATCAAGTTGGGAATCTCTCTGAATCAATGTGAGGAGAAACTATTTAACTTGTGTTACTGAACCTTCGTCAACGCGCATTGCTGCTCATCATATATGGGGTTATGATCGCCTGCTAACATGCTTCTGTTGAAAGTGACATCAATTATCTGGTTATGGACTACCTCATCACCAATGGCTACCCCGCTGCGGCGAAGAAATTCGCGCTCGAGGCCAATATCCAACCCAGAGCAGATATCGAGGCAATTCAAGAAAGAGTTGAAATTCGTACTGCGATTCATTCTGGGAATATCCAAACCGCCATTGAGAAGATCAATGAGTTCAACCCTCAGGTAAGAATTATCCTCTTTGCACAACCCCACCTTCCTTCGTATGATTAGATCAGTTTCATGCACCACTCGGAACAATCCTTCGGGATTTGGTCGATAAACACTCATCATCATCAAGAACTTTGTATGATTCGAAGTCACTTCTATTATATGTACTACATCTCGGTTGTGGGAGCATTCTCGCTAACTTGCACCGCATTAGATTTTGGATGAAAATCCTCCTCTGCACTTTGCCCTGTTGCGTCTGCAGCTGGTCGAGCTTATCCGCTCGTGCACTTCCACCCCTGATGGAGACATCAGCCCAGCCCTAGAGTTTGCAACCTCGCAGCTCGCTCCACGGGCGCCCACCAACCCTCAATTCCTGGAAGATCTCGAACGGACCCTTGCGCTCCTGATCTTCCCGTCGGATAATCTCTCTCCATCCCTTGCTCCTCTGCTCCAACCCGAGCTCCGTAAAGATATTGCCAACCGTGTGAACGAGGCCATCCTGCAAACCCAGGGTGACTGTAAAGAAGCGCGCCTGCGCAACCTGGTTAAGCTCCGTGCGTGGGCGGAAAACAAGGCCCGCGAGGCTAAGAAGGACATCCCCGACAAGCTGAGTTTGGGGTTAGGGGACAGTAACTCCAGCTCGTCCAGCACCCACGCCCACAGTAATCCCGGCACGAGCCAGAATGGCTCGTCCAACGACACTGTAATGACCAATAGTGGGGACGTTGACCCAATGATTTCGTGATCGCCCTGGCGGTGATGTCTTTGCACGTTATTCTGTTGGCTGCAGCATGGAGTTTGGAGCGATGTCTGTTTGCGGTCTGGGTCTTTAACTTGAGCTTGAATTCAGTGGTTCATCATTCCCTTAGTCCTGAGTTGTAGCTTCCGTGGCCGACGGACTGGCATGCGATTCTACTGCTTTACATTTGCATGCTTGTCACAAAGTCATGGCTATTTTGTCATGGTGCATCTGTCTACTGGAAGCCTATTAGCCGCCTGCTGTAATTCGACATACAACGCAGCATCAGCATAAGATGCAATGCAACTATACAAGCAAAAGATGATACAACAGCTGTATAGCTGTAAACAAGCCTGAACCATACCACAAGATAAACAAGTCTCACCACATATTCAATCTTCACCCTAGAACAAGAAGCGATAGTAATATCACCAACCATCAAATTCAGTACCCAACGCCCATCATGCTAAACATTCAACTGGTAGGAACAAATCAATCCCATTCCCGCAGGAAGGGCTCAAACCCGCAAACAACAACAACAACAACAACAACAACAACAACAACAACAACAACAACAGCAACCACCTCATCACAGCACTCAATGACGTACAGCCCCCCCCCCAGCAAACAACCATATATACACATCACCCCCCCTACCATCACCACCCACCCCCTCCCAAACCCTCCACTAAACCAGATCAAAACCAACTCTCACTCCCCCACCTTTCCTCCCCCCAACAAAAGAAATCAGCCCAAATCCTCTCAAGAAACCAATGTGACAGAAATAATTACCGCCTCTTCGACCCCCGCAACACAATGCCCCCCACCACACCCGCCGCCAACGCCAACCCGCCCACAATCGCAATCCCCAGCAGTCCCTCCTTGGACACCTTCTCCTCGATCAGCGACCCCAGACTGGCCGCCTGCAGGTTGGCAGGCTCCTTCTCGAGGAGAAGGTCGTTGTAGCGCCGCGCCTCGCCGTAGTTTCCCAGCTTGTAGTTGCCCAGCGCCAGGTAGTAGAGGCATTCGCGGCGGCGTTCGGGCGCGGCCCGGAAGATCTCGGAGAGGAGGCGCACGCCTTCTTGTTGGTCGGTGCGGGAGGGGGATTTGATGAGGCCCTATCCGTAGTATTTTCTCGGGTTAGTTCTGGAGGGGAAGGAGAGGGGGGTGCTTGGGGGAGAAGGGGGGGGGGGGACATGGTGGGTATGGTGTGTGGGTTTGGTGGTTTGGTATTGGCTTGGGGAAGGACAACCTACCCAGGCGAAGTTGAATTTGGTCTGGATGCCGACGTAGTCGCCTTCTTTCTCGTACTGAGCGCGCAGGACTTGGAGTTCGGCGGGTTTAAGCGGGCTATTTTGTCATCGAGAAGGATTAGCTGAGGGTTCGGGTTGCGCGGGAGGGTGGTCTTGTTGGTTATGGTCAGTGCTGAGGGTAGGACTGTACCTCTCTGCGTCCGCGGCATCTGCATTGAAAAGGCGGGTGGTTAGATATCATGTCTGCGGGGAAGATGTGTTTTTTTTGTTTTGTTGACCAAGGCAAAGCTTACATGGTAGGTTGGAGCCCATGGTCTCTGAATTTGGTTGGTTGTCTTTACTGTACTGCTTTATGAAAAACTCAAAGCGTGAAAAGCAGAGCACAAGAACCGGTGGATGGGGAAGGAGGATGTGATCTTCGGCGGAGGCAACTCAGTTCAACTCGACTTACTCTCCATCTCCATCCCGTGACGCCAGGCCAGCCAGTGTCGTCAGGTTTTGTGGCGGTGCCGCCTAACAAGTGGCTTGGCGGGACCTTCCTCTCAGTAAATGTGGCGCCGTTGCTCGAACAACAAACATCAACCTCCCTTATCAACATCAACTCACACCCCTCACCATCCTCATCACTATCAACGACACCACCCCTCAATACAACCACGAAAATGTTACTCGACGAAAACCCCGCCACTGTGCGTCAATTCGCCCCCTAAATCCCAATTTACGCCCCCCCTGAAAACTAATCCCCCCGACCAGCTCATCCACCACACAATCGGCAACTTCAACATCCAACCGGACAAACAAGCCGTCACGCGCATCAATGACTCACTCGCCACGCTGCAGCAGTCGCGCGAGCTGCGCATGCGCGAGGCCGAGTCCGCCCTCCGCAAGCTCTCGCGCCACCTGTCCGCGCTGCACAACCAACAAGAAGAGGCGGTAGCCGCGCACGACGCCGGCCAGCACGCCGCCGAGATGGTCGAGCTCGACACCAAGAAGTTCCGCATCGCCAAGAGCGCCACCGAGCTGGAGATCGAGAGCGAGCGGCTTGAAGGGGAGCTGGAGATGCTCCGCGAGCGGCTGGCGGATCTGGAGGCGCAGGGCGTCGAGGGGGATGAGCCCACGCGCCGGGAGCGGGAGATGGATGATGCGACGCTGTAAGTTGCCCCAAAGCAAAAGATTCTGTGGCTTGGAGGAATACGGGGATGAGTGGGTGGACTTGTGCTGATTGCGGGGGTTTTTTTTCTTCTTTCTAAACAGTCTTCGATTGAAAATCTACCGATCCCTGGGTGTCGATATCGAAGCGGACGAGACGGGCAACTTCCACAAAGCGGTGATTCGAAACAGTCGCAAGGGCGACGTGCATGTCGTCAACATTGACCCAAAATTCTCGCGGTTCTTCTACTCGAATTATTTCTGGTCGACGATGCAGGGATAGAGTTATTGTTACTCTTCGGGTTGGCGTTTCGTTGGTTTTAGATGGTGTTGTTGTTGGTGTTTGGTTCCCTCGGCGTCTCTTACTGTATCTTACATGCTTGATTATACCCCCCCTCGGCCGCTGCTGAATCGAATCTACCTTTCTCTTTTCTCTCTGTACATCCTCCCATCACGTTGGATTCGGTATCGATTGTGACGAATCTGCCTCCGACTGCTGCTGCTCCCCCACCGGCCCCTCACTCAGCCCCATCATCTTCAACTCGCGCAGCAAACCCTCGCGATCCCGCTGCGACAGCATACTCGGCACGCCCCGCTTAGCCCAGAGCAGCGGTTTCTCCTCCGGGAACCGGCTCTGGATGACCGAGAGCGCCTCGTAGCGGGTCTCCTGGTCATCGGGCGCGAGATTCCAGAGCGCCCACCACTTCTCCTCCTGCTGCAGCATGCGCGCCTCGATCTGATCCATGCCCGGCAAGGCGTGCTGCAGCCCGTCACGGTCCCAGGTCAAGCGGATAGGCGGCGGGTAGGGCTTCGCGCGCAGCTCGGAGGGCAGCTTGTCGCGCAGCTCCTCCTCCCACAGCGCCAACCCGCCCTCGGCCTCCAGCTCGGCCAGCTCGGAGGCGAGCTGGCGCTCGGGCCCGTGGACGACCTCGACGCCCAGCGGCGCGACGCCCAGCGCCTCGACCGCCTCGTTCCACAGCGCCTGCCGCAGCACGCCCCGCAGATCCACCATCAGATACACGAGCGGCAGCGCGCTGCGCTGTAGTGCCGCGCGCACCCCCGCCGACGCCTCGCGCCGGTTGACCAGCATCCCGACCCGCGGGCCCGCTTCCACCTGCCCCGGTTCCTGGCCCTGCAGCCGCCAGGTGTGCGGCATCCGCCGCGCGATCACCCCCTCCAGCTCGCGGATGCTCTGCGGCCCCACGCGCCGCCGGTGCGCCTTGCACTGCACCGCGACGTGGATTGGGACCTCGTGGCCCGGCAGGTGCCAGGTACCCAGGTGGTCGATGCCGTTGTCGCTGCGCCCGCCGGTGCGGTGCAGCAGCAGCGCGGCGGCGTGCCGCAGTTCTGTCTGGACGGTGTATTCGTACAGGTTGCCGATGAAGAGCGTCGAGGAGCGGGAGAGGTCGTGCCGTCGCGCGAAGTCGATGAAGCTCGCCCGGTTGTAGTGCTTGTGTTTCGAGATCGGGGGCACGGGGAGTTGGTACACGCGCCGCGTGAAGAAGGAGAGGGAGGAGGTCATTTTGCGGGTAGTGCGGGGGGCGGTTGCATAGTTGGTTGGTTGATGTTGAATAACAGAAGGCGTATGAACTGGTCTCAATCAGTAGTGGTATCGTGGTGGTAGATAGGTTGGTTGGACGTGTGGCTACTATCGGCGAAAAAGTGGTTTGGGAGAAGATAGAGAGATGGCGAGAGCGGAGCGGAGGAAAAGACCGACAGACAATCTCTAATCTTATCGCGATTTGCACCTGCTTCTCTCCGCCTGAGCTTGCTTCCTCCACCTTATCCCATCCATCCATAACACCTACTCTTCCACCATCTCCTCACACCACCTCTTCCCTCTTACTTACTTCTTCTACGTTCTCTCCACCTCACACAACGCCACCCCCCATCAAAACGATAATTCAAAATGGCCGACATCCTAACCCAACTCCAAACCTGCCTCGACCAAGTCCGTCCCCATCCCATCCCCAACCAACCAATCCACCCCCCCCAAAACCCAGCTAACAACCCCCTTAAGCTAGCAACCCAATTCTACGCCACCCTAGGCTACCTAACAACCTACCACGACAACAGCCCGGCCACCGTGCCCCCGCAAACCCCCCACGCCGCGCCCGCGCTCGCCAAAATCCCCAAGACCTCCTCCGCGCCCCCGGTCCCCGCCAGCGCACCCCTCGCCGCCCAGCAGCAGAGCAACCAGACCCAACAAACACCAGCCGAGAACCCAGCACCGGTTCAACCAGGCGCACCGGAGGACACAACAGCTCCGGGGCAAGGGCAGGACCCCACGCTCCCACCGGCGCCCGACTCGCCCCGGACGTTCGCGGCGCGGCAGCGCGAGCTGGCGAGGGATTTGGTGATCAAGGAGCAGCAGATTGAGTATTTGATTAGTGTGTTGCCCGGGATTGGGTCGAGTGAGGCGGAGCAGGAGCTCCGCATAAAAGAATTGGAAAGAGAGTTGAGGCGGTGGGAGGGGGTGCGCGGGGAGAGGATGCAGGAACTCAAGGCGTTGAGGGGCCGGTTGGAGGGGGTGTTGGGGGCGATGGAGGTGGGGGTTCATGGGGAGCGTGCTTAGGTTCTTACTTGTAAGAACGACAGAGGGGGGGATGGGAGTGGGGATCGGTGATTCTCATGAGAAAAGGATTGGTTTATTAGCGGGTGCAGGCATGGATTGCGAATGATGAACTGATTATGACTGATTAGGCACTGGTAGATCTAGGTCCCATATCAAAAGCAAAGAAGTTCGTCCAGGCCCTTCTATATGTCTGTTTCCTTCGTCTTGTCGTGAATTGTCGGTGCTGTGTAGCCTCGTCTCTCTTTCTGTGTCTGTCTGTGTATATGGTGCTGTAAATCCGTCCTCCGTGATGCGCAGCCAGAATGAATTACCCCCGTGAAAAAAAAAAAAAAAAAACGCCAGTAAATGAAACCCCTTCCTTGAACCATCCAATCCAACCCACCGGGTATAGAACGAGAAAACAGCAGGAAACAAAAAGAAACCAACAAAAAGAAAATCACTTGAATAAACTCCGGTATTCGCGCATCCGCTGCTCCTGCACCTCCCGCTTGTCCAACTTGCCCCGGTTCATGCTCAGATCCGCCAACTGCTGCTTCTTCTTAGCCAGCTCAAAGATCTTCTCCTCGATGCTGTCCGCCATGATGAACTGCACCGTCGTCACCGGCCGCGTCTGGCCGATGCGGTGCACGCGGTCAACGGCCTGCGCCACCGCCGCCGGGTTGTACTGCGGCTCCATGATGTAGACCTTGGACGCAGACGTCAGATTCAGCCCCACGCCGCCGGCCCCGATCGTCGCCAGCAGCACGGTGATCGCGTCGTTGTGCTGGAACTCCTCGAGCGCCTTGTTGCGCGCCGCCAGCGTCATCGTCCCGTCCAGGCGCGTGAACCCCGTCAGCCCGTTGTCGCGCAGCGCGATCTCGATCAGGTCCAGGTGCGACGTCCACGCCGAGAACACCACGCTCTTGTACGGCCGCTGCTCCCCCTGACTCTGGCTCTCGTCCGCCGTGGCGAGCAGCTGCGCGACCAGCGCGTTGGTCTTGGTGTGCGGTCCTTCATACTCGCCCAGCTGCTTCACGTGCTTGCGGCTCTGTTTCGCCCGCGCCTGGTCCACCAGGTAGTCCTGGAGCCCGCCCACGGTGATGATGGAGTACGAGGCCGGGATCCAGCCGTCGCAGACCTGGCACCGGAGGTTCGGGGAGTGGCTCATCTGCGCTTGTTCGAACGCATGGGTCCACCCGGAGAAGCAGTCCGGGCAGAGCACGTCGAAGCAGGGAAGCACAATGGCCACGGCCGCTTGGCGGTCGACCGCCCCGTTGTCAACGCCGGGTTCCTCGAGCCGCTTGCCGCACGTGGCACAGGTGTCGGCCGAGGACTCCTGCATGAGCGTGAACATCTCGTAGGACTTCTTGTCGGTTGCGCCGCTGCTGTCGCCGCCCGCTCCTTCTTCCAGGTCAATCGCATCCTGCACGCTCAGTCCCTTGATCCGCTTGCGGTCGTCCGGGTCCAAAAGCTCCTTGCCGTGGGCGCTGACTTGGCGCAGGATCATCATGGCCTTCAGGATGTGGTGGTACATTCGCCCTTTCATCTTCGATTTCTCTTCGCCGGCAATCACCCGCATCATCACGTTCGACTCCCGCCGGAAGAACTCGTGGAGCTGGCGTTCCTTTTCGGTAAAGTTCAGCATGACGATCATATCCTGTCGCGGGGGTAGATCGATCTTGTCCTTGACTCGACGCAGAGTGAACGAATCCACAAGCACGCGCAAACTGGCTAGCACGGTCGCATCGCCGGTCTTGAAGCGACTCAGGATGTGCATGCCAAAGCGACCCCGGTCGTCGTATGGGTAAAGCCCGAGGAACTTCGTCACGGAGAGCAGATCCTCCAGGCGGTTTTGGATGGGTGTGCCGGTCACGGACCAGCGACGCTGCGAATTCAGCCTGAGGATGGCCTGAGTCTGGGCTGCGCTCTGTTCGCGAATGGTATGGGCTTCGTCCAGAACAATACGGAACATGTTCATCTTGGTCAACGGACTCACCCCCCGTTTCGCTCCTCTCCCCGATAATTCACTGAGAACGATGCTGTACGTCGTGATGACGAGATCATACTTGGACAGCTCTTCGACATCGTTGGTCCGAGACGAGCCATGGAAGACGTAGTATGAGACTGCGTCCTCTTCAAGATGCTCTTTGATCTGCGCCACCCAGTTGTTGACCGCGCTGAGGGGCGCCACCAGCAGCGTAGTCTTAGTGTTGCGGATGCCAGGGAGGCTTTTGACCAACGCGGGGTCTGGAACTTGCTTCACCCATTCGCTAGACCCTTCCAACGAAGTCACAACCAGCGAGAGAATACTCAACGTCTTGCCAAGACCCATCATATCTGCCAACAGTCCACCCAAGCTTTGCGGGGGCTCCTCGTCGAGCACCGTGCCACTGATGATCTCGCGGTATTTCCTCCTGCCGCCAGACCGGTAATCCCTTCGCCACAGCGAATTGTTGTCTGCTTCGTTGGGACCGAATCTGCGCGGCTTTTCCTTTTCAGTCATGAACCAGAGTGCCTGCTTCTGATGGCGAAGCAAAGGTGTGCGCAGCCCAGATGGAGGCTCCATTTCAGGCAAGTTGTCGTTGCTCTGGAGCTGGTCGAACATTTTCATCACTGCGTCGTTGACTTCTTCAGCGGTTCGCACCTCATAGTTGACCCCTACGCGACCCCTGGCGGCCACGGACGGCAAAAACGCAGCCTGAGCCCTCCGCATCTCAGCGTGTGGATTGAGTGTCGGCACACCCTGTTCCACCGCAACTGGGGACGTAAGCCACACATTATGCTGACCGAGGTGCTTGCCGACCAGCGTAGCATCTTTCCTGAGGCCGTAGAGATTGATAGACGCCCGGTAAGTCTCGGAACAGGGTACCCATGGCCATTCACCCTCCTTCCTCCGTCGAAAATCCAGCCGCGCAGTCAGGTCCACCTTCACAGCAGGCGAATCCAGTAACGGGGCGATAACGGCTGCTGTTCTGGCATTGATCACGCCGAAGATCTTCCCATTTGGATCAGAAACTTCAATACGGTTGTTCTCGCGCGTTTGTCGATGCACCCCGAGTTTCATTGACGGCCAGTCGTGCGTTGAGTCTCCGAAAAGAGAATGGGTCGAAGGCTTCGGGACCAACTGCGCTTGCACCGTCGCCCCCTCAATCTTTCCGTAGCATACCCTCTGTAGGCTGAGATCATTAGACCCAGTGACCTGTATCTCATCGTCGTCGGTGGCTGCAGCTGAGACATCTACCGCAGAGAGTTAGCCGGTGACACAGGGCTCCAACTTGAGTTTCAGACCCATACCTGTAGTCAAGTCCACGACATTCGTGGTGGACGAGGACGAGTCCGCCTGATCCCGCCCTTCCTTCATCCATCCACCGAGATCTGAGTTTCCAGTCCCGGAGAAGTTTGTATTTTGTCCCGCCTTCATTTCTTGATCCCTCTCTACCTTCACCCTCTTGATCGGCTGGCTCGCACGTCTCTCCACCCCATACATATTCTCGATGAGACTCCCGTGACGCGCATCGGGGCCGTCATCGTCGAGGTGCTCAGAGCTGCGTTTGATGCTCGTGCGATCGTCGCCTTCAAAGTCCGAGCTCGCACTCGCAAACTCCACATCGATCGTAGGCGCAGCCTGATTTCCCTGCGACGGAGCGCTCACCGCATCCCCCGCCAGCGAAGGGGTTCGCGTCCCGGATCGTGATGTCATATTCGAGTTCGGGAGGGAGTTCGTTCTCGAGGCGCCACCTCTCTGCTGGCGCCGGCGCGGGCTGTTGAGGAGCAGATGTGCGGCCGAGGCGGTACCCGCCGGCGCCACGGACGAGGCAGGACTGCGCTGCGAGGCGGGTGTGGAGGAAGAGTCCGGTTGGTTCGTCGAGGATCCTGGAAACGATGAGTCTTCCGTGTCTGGTCCAAGGGTGTTACTGTTAGGGGATGGGGAGGAGGGGCCATGCAACGTCGAAAAGGTGAGCGAAGACAGAGATCCTTCGTCATGCGGGGAATCAGCGACGTCGGGGGAGGAGGAGGAGGAGGAGGAGGAGGAGGAGGAGGGGTCCTGGTGAGAGGAGGATGATGATGATGCGGGCTCGACCTCGGGCTCCGGGGAGGCTTTACCATTCTTTTTCTGTAGTTGTTTTTTGTGCGCCCGTGGGTTCAACAACATGGCGGCGTCGGAGGAAGCCATGATTGTCAGATGGAGTCTCCTTCAGCTGCAGGCGGCGAGAGCGAGAAACGCGCGCGGGCTGGAGGAAGATCCTGGGGAGACGGATTCAAGATCGCAGACAGGGAAACGGTCGGAGAGGAAGTAGTGAAGGCATAAATCGTCCAGGATAGACCAGTGATCAAGATAGGCAGCAGTTCTCGAGTAAGGATGGTTTGTCGCTAGTGGTCAGGCTGAGCATACACTCCGGAGGGTGGGAGTCCGTCCGTGGCGGCGAAACGAGGGACAAGTGAGGCAGGGTTACAGCGTCAATCTATTACTGTCGCATTAAGCCGCTAAGACCTAAAGCCCACAGGTAGAAGAGAAGAGGAGTAAGACAGCGTGGTAGAGATGTGAGAGGTGGAGATTTGGAGGGTTGGACGCTCGATGGTGACGACGGGGAGACGATGCCAAGAAGTTAGCGATAGATAAGATTGCGGGCGAGTCACGAGTCATGTACTGTACGGACCGTCTGTCTACTATGGCTTTTGATGGCCGGTGTTCACAAAAACATGATCCGAGGAGAAAGATTCCTCCACACGCGCAGCCTTCGATCTGCTGCTTTCGTCCTCTTCTCGGATCCAGTCTCTGCGCCTTGGACTCCCAATCCCTCATCCTCCGTTTGCCATTCATCTCATTATCCGACTCCAGATCCTCAAGTCTTTCTTTCATTGTGAATACGCCCACTCGTCGATCTTGAAAACAAGGCAAAAAGTATTAATTCTATTCTTGATTCCTTTTGTCTTGCAGCTATTTATAACTATATGTACTCAAAGCAAATATTATGTACCGTGCGTAAGTCTGGATAAAGATTAGGTCTCCCACAATATCCCACGTGAAGATCAACTTCCATTGTCTATGACACTAACCCATCAGATGAAGTTTTCCAACAAAAGCCATACCTTGCAAATCGAAAAGAAACTCCTCATGCCAGATTATCATAATACACGCTAAATGGGGAGACGAAGAAGAGAAAAAGCGATGAGGAGAGGACGTGTAAGGATCCGTGTTTAGCACCAGGTAAACACGGGATTCTTACTTTTGACGGCCTCGAGCCGCTCGACAATCACTTTACGTTGGTTGCCTTCCATCCCCTCCGCGGCTGCATATCCGAGATCTCCTTCGAGATCGTCGCTGCTCCAGAGCAGGTGCGCTTGGCCGCGATTACTGGAGACGGAGCTGTGTTTCTGGTGTCGGTGGCTTGGCCGAGGAGGGAGCGTGGCCCAACTGCGTTCCAAGTCCCTACCATGAGAAAGCTCGTCAATACTGTCGCGGCCATACCTGTCGTCCATAGTGACTGGGCTACCCGAAAGTGCCCGGCCACGGCCGGACGCGGAGCCGCGGCCTCTGGACAGTTCAAACCGGTTGGGGTTTGGCAATTCGTTCGGAGGGGAACCGAGTCCGAGTAAATCGACCTCGGGACCTGTACCCAAGGACATCGAGGCACCAATATCCATTTCCTCGTTATCGGGATCATACGTGCTATGTTTGTCGTAATTTTCGTAGCTCTTCACTTTGCGTCTCTGAGCCTCCGTGGAGGGGCCGCGGAGGGGGATAGCAACCGGCACATCCACAAGATCATCCCAGACACAGACGCGCGTTCTTCTCGTCAATTCAAGTGGGCCATGGTCGGAATGCTTCAGTGTCTCCACCACATTCCATGCCTGGCCTTTCATGACTGCAATCTGTCTCGCAAACATGCTCTCCTTGAAATCATCATCCTGCGAGAACACACGGCGCAAAGCCATCTGTGTGCCGCTCCACCAGGCAGTGGAGGTTAGAAGCGGTAGGAAATGGTCACGAGTCTTCTGCGAAAAGGGTTGACCGATTAAAGATACGGGCAGAAACAACCAGCCGAATGGAAAACTCCGCCACTGAGAGATATTAGCACGAGCCATGCAGATTTCAACGTTTCGTCATTCAACTTACCGCATCGGGATGTTTCCATGGCCACGAAAGACTGTTATCGATGGCACCAATTTGGATGGTTGCATAAGGTTCGGTTGCGTTCAAGGGAGTCCCTGTGCGACTCACGGCAAGCATGGACTCGTGTCTCCGGTAGGGGTGAGGCGCAGTTGTCGCTCCGTCAGAATTGACTGCTACCGGGCGCGCAGGGGGCAGGTCATCGTCGTCATTTTCTTGCCGCTGCTGCTGCGCGCCGTTGGGTTTCGGCGGATCAGCGACAATGGAGACTTCCTCAGTCTTCCAATCGATCTTAATCATCCAATTGTCTAGACCTCGGTCCGTGTTGCGCATGATGTAGTCCAGAATCACGAGCTTCTCCAGCTCTTCCCTGAACGACTGCTTCAGGCTTTCCGTCCAGTAAAACCGCCGCTCTCTGCTTTCCTCACGCGGTGATGGGGTTTGCGTCTGACCGTCGTGGTACGCTTCTTCGTCTTCATCGTCCGAGTGTATTCCAGAAGGGCGACATGCTTCATTCCATGGACGCTTCTTTCGCTTGGGAGCATCTTCTGCTCTAAATCCAGTATTGGCTTGATCGGGCCAAGGATGGTCGCGCAGAAAGAGATTTGCATCCTTGTAGCCTTTGAGGAAAACCTGGAAACTACCGGCCTTGGGCGGGAGGGACTTCTTACCCATCCAAGCTTTTCTGCGATCCCAAAAGTCGTAGAAGAAGGACTTCGAGGACAGCCAGACAATATCGGTATAAGGAACGAGATTGGTTTGCAGTCGAGAGTCGAGAACATATGCTGCCGCTTCGGAGACATAGGACAGGTTGGGAATGAGACAAGCTCGGCCGAAGAAGCATGGGAACAGGTTGCGGTGAATCCATTTGGTCCATTTCGGGTTGCGAGATGCATACGGTTCTTCATCCTTGGGCTTGAAGACTCCCACCACCTTACCTTCGCTGTTCCGCGCGAAATAACTACCCGAACTGCCCTGGGAGATCATTCGGGGGTGGACCCCCATCTCGATGGCGATCCGGACACTCTCCACCACCTCTTCGAACTCTTCGCGAGCTCTCCGCGCAGCACCTTCGACCTCGTCTGACTCGAGAACCTCCGCGGTGACAGGTCGGACCCCATCAGGCGCCTGGAAGACTGAGTGATAGATCTCTAGCTTCTCCTCCTCGAGTGTCTTTCCTTTGACTCGATTGATTTTGAATTTCGAAGCGAATTCTTCGGCCCAGCGCTCAAGGCGCGCATTGATGGCTTTGATGTCCACCCCGGAGTTCCTCCGTCCCCGTCGGTGATACTGTCCACTCAGCCTCCGTCGCGGTTCGGGGGGCGAGGCCAGGCCGGTTCGTGCGGAGATCGGTGCATATCGTGGTGCGGATTGGGAGATGGTGTGGGAGTCGTGTTGTAGGTCATCATCGTCTGAGTATTCGTATGGATCGTGGGCTCGGTCTTCTTCTTCCTGCGCCAAGCGGGCATACCCCGAAGTTGCGGGTCGATTCTTGGGCATGGTGGCAGAGCGACTGGGTTAGGACTGCAAGGGCCGGGAGGCAACCAACATTCAGTTCATATGAAAGGGAGCACGAAGGGACGGAATTGAGGAATGGGGCATAAAATGAACGAAGAGAAAGGGGAGAAATTGATACGATGAGTGTAGCAGAAAGAAGACTCAAGGCATCACTGGCGACCGACAGCAACAGAAACGCAAATGAAACTCGGCGGGTGGAAATGGGTGGAGGGTAGAAGGTGGAGGTTAAGTTAGTTGAGTAGAGTAGGACTGGACAGGCTAGGTGGAGGAGAGCGGGCGAGGGACTGCACTGCACTGGACCTTCACGCTGTCATCTTCTGCTGTTCCGATGTTACGGCTGTGGCTGGCCTTACCTGTTTTATCTGGCAGAACTGTATCGATACCATCTCCGGTGCTTCAGCGCTGTCTTTTAATTGGATCTTGGGCCGCTCAGGGTCCTGTGCCGCCACATGTCTGACGATACGATACGACACCGCCACGGCAGCTCCTCCGAAAGCGCGGGCTCCACCTAAGCTTTATGAACATCGACAAAACCCCTGAATTGATGAGCAGAAGAGACGAGGGCCTAGAAGTCCTGGGCAATCATGAAATTACAATTGCTGCGAGCCATATATGTGCGATCCATGTGGTGAAGCAGAGACTCTCAATTACTGCTGTACTAGGTAAAGTCGGGACAGAACCAGTCTTGGACTCTGTCACTCTTACTCAGCAGAAATATAGTTAACTTAAGTTACTCTATACAAATACGTACTCCGTAATAGCCACAGCTCCATTGATCCATTGATCGATGGCTGTCTCGGCGAGCAAACGGTTGGTCATCGTGGCCGATTAGTTGTTCGACCCCGTGCGGCAAACCGGTTTCACTCGAGCCCCAATTCCAAGAAGCGATCGATCTTAGGGTACTCGGTACATAACCCCTAAAAGCTTCCTTTCCGACCCAAGGACCAAAGGACCAAAGGACCAGATGGAACCAAATGGACATCAAAGGGGCATGCAGGGGCACGGCAACAACATTGCCAGGACTCATTCCGGGTCTAGTACCGAGTAACTTGGTTAATCGATTATCGTGTGTACTGTAGATAAGAAAGACATGGGGAAAACAATGTCGGATGAGAACAAATTAATTGTTCGACAGGTAGTGAGTGTACTGTGTACTTCTCTCATTTAGTACGGGACATGTATATTTAAGTATATAGTTAACTTCACTTCGATGACGGCATCACCTACCAGCCAAAGCAAGAAAAGAAAAACAACGAGCAGACATAAGAAACTGGTCCGTAATAACTCATGGGTCCAGCCCCAGCCGCCGCCGTAAAAGGGCATGGAACAATCGATAAGTTCCCTATCCCTAATAGTAGCCTCTCCGGCCCAGCCTGCGCGCGATAAGTTAATCAATCAATCTCGTTCCACCCCCGACCACCCCGTCACGCTTCCTCCAATCTCACCTTCACGACTACTCCTCCTCATCCATTCGTCTTCGCGTTTTCCCCGGATGACCACTTTGCAAGCCTCTCAGGCAATCCAATTGATGGTCTCTTCAACGTCTTATTCTCTGCCCCGTCATTCATTTCACTTGTTCTTCGGGTCGAGTCTCATCGTTCAGTCTCACGGACAGCCTCGCTGAGATCTTTCGCTCCTTATCCGTTCTATCTGCCTTGTCCTTTGCCATTCCAACTGGGTTGCGATACAACCCAGAACACGCGGGAAGGATAGATTCTCAAATCGTTCCTTGAACGCTTGCATTTGGCTCGTGGGAAATCGCAGGAAGACATTCCAGATCGATCCTCCCTTTTTTTCCGTGGCTGGTCCTCTTCCCGAGCAGCGCGAACCTTCCCTCCTCCATACAACAACCCTTGGAGTCCTCGACGCGAAACGGCTATATTGATTCTCAATTCGGTCAATCGAGGCCGGATTTATAGCCAATCCTCAACGACATCCTCCACGGTGGCTTCACTCCTGTTCCGGGCGTCGCCCATCGACCCAGCCCTCCGACCTCCGTCGCCGTCCAATCCCCAGTCCCACGAACCCGCTTACAATCCAGGCTCGTCCTCCGGGGAGAGTCAATTGGATTCGCGTCAATCCACAACAGATACTGTGACTGGAGCCTCATCCGCATCCTCGCAGTACTCGGGAGCCATTCCGGAACTCAGCTCGCTGGACAAATTTACCCATAGTCCCGGCAGTAGCAGCAGTAACGGTAGCGCGTTCCCAAGCTCGCTCGGTCCCTCTTTGCCTGGGCTGTCGGCTCTGGCATCGGTCGCATCGGCGCCCACCTCCAATCTGCGGTATGTATTCTTGCAGCCTTTCCTCGCCAGGTAGAGTTTATGAAGATATCGGGTTGTGGGACAAGTCCTTGGTGGCTGTTTGATAACTACGGGTGGAAGCCATCGACTTGATCGCGTGGTAAGCACGGTCTTTACTGACGAATCTTACGTGTTTAGAGCGTCGAGTAGCAATGCCAATCACGGAATGGCCAATATGACCTACGCGACATCATCCCCAGCGGCCACCACTGGTGGACAAGGCAATAACCCTGTAAGTAATAAGATGGAAAGACGGAGTCTGGGGGCTTATCGCGACGAGGGGGGGGAGGGAAGTCCTTATCTACGCACTACTACTCGAGTAGTGCTGAGGAATTTTTTCCCCTTTTGACCTTTTGAGCCGGAATCCCCTCGTTTCTTTTTCGCACCCAATCTTTGGTGTTATCAGCAGCCGCTGGGGTCTTGGCGCCGCACCACCAATGCCTTATCGCTCCAACCCATCAAATCTCTCCCGATCTTATCAACCCAGCGCTCTTCCTCACTCCATCCACTATCAGCGCCGTCTCCTCATCTTCCCCATCCTCTGCCTTCCTCTACCGCCCCGTTTGCTGCTGAAAAGACCATGGCGACCACATTGGCTGATCAAAAACGTCCTCAATTACAGCCCGTGTGCCAGAATTGCGGCACCTCCACTACCCCCCTCTGGCGCCGTGACGAACTCGGCTCCGTGCTCTGCAACGCCTGTGGTCTATTCTTGAAACTACATGGGAGGCCTCGTCCGATAAGCCTCAAGACCGATGTGATCAAAAGTCGCAACCGCGTCAAGACCGCCGGTCAGGGTACCAAGCGCAAGGTGAGTCCTCGACTCGAAAATTTTTCTTATCCGTCACGTCTCTTCCCAGGACCCGGTTGCTAACCCTTCATGTCTATCTTTCTCCACAGTCGGGCGGTACTATCGATACCAATGGCCTCTCTGCCTCCCGATCCGAAGCAGGGACTCCGCCTCTGGGATCGCATGGCAATCGTCGCGCGTCGCGCAAGACGTCTCCTGGCCACTCCGACCGATCCAACTCGCCGGTGCCGCGCACGGAAACGCCTGGTCTCCCTCAGGTGCAACAACAACACCCCCAATCGCTGCACAACTCCAACATTGCACCGCAACACATGTTTGACAGTGTGACCATTGGGGACCATGGCATGAATCCGCCCAATTCAATGCCTTCGGTGCAGTTGCGCCAGCCTTCCCCGACCTCGACCTCCGCGGCGGGCGACCGTCACCCCGAGTCTCCCCAGACTTATGAAGGTCTCTTGGCGGCGAACACATCCCTGAAGACGCGCGTGAGCGAATTGGAGTTCATCAACGAACTCTTCCGCGGTCGCGTCGCGGAGCTTGAGCGAAGCGATGCGACGGCTCGCCGGTCCGAAATGATCGTTCGCGACTCGGAAGTCCGGCTGCGACGGTCTCTGGAAGAGGCCCAGCGACGCGAGGACGATCTTAAACAGCGGGTTGCCGACCTTGAGCGGCAGCTCGCTGACAAAATCACTCCCAACCACATCACGAACAGCGACAGTCCGGGTGAACCGCTAGCCAAGAGAATGCGATTGTCAGACGTGGTCGAGCAACCAGCTGAGTCTCCGACTAAATCGCCCAAGAGCGTCTAACCCAGGAAGGAAGGCTCAGTATGTTGGACGGAAGCGTCCGCGTTGTCGATCCCAACGCGTATTCGCGCGTTGCTGAGATCTCTGATCTGATCTTCCTTGGTCTTTTTGATACCCTTTACGAGTCTTGTCATTGGCTGGTTGTATATCGGATTAACTAATTGTACCCTTCTCCTTGGATCGAATCTTTTATATTTATTCTCTTTCTACCACACCCCACACACAGTCTCTCTCTTTCTGCTTTATTCTTAATTCCGATATGGGACGGGGAAAGATCGGTTGGTCGGCAATCATCAGCACATTGCACGCGGTATGGAATCTGCAAGGCAAACCCCAAAACCGGACAAGCAAGAGAAACGTTTGCCACGATACAAAAAAAGGAGAATGGATTGACCCTGTAAAATGACCCGGGCAATCTCTCTCGATGTTCAGTACTTCGATGTTTATCTTATATTCCCTGCAATCCCAATGTGCTTTTCCCATTCGACCTTATGACATGTTAATCATACGACTGTTTACTATTGAGACAGTCTAGTTGGAGTGTCTCCGCGTATACAGTCCTTCCTCGACACTAGTAATCAAGATACTTTTCTGCCGCCAGGACGTACACTCTCTGTTTGCACACTGGACGGGCACCAGCAGCTCCGGTCATTCTCACCTCCGGTTCAATGGTCACGCATCTTATACTGTACGAGCCTGATCATCTACGTCCGTTGCACGGTCCGAGAAGCATATGGCTCGTATCCCTACCAATCAGTAAAGACCCGTTTTCGTCATACCTTCTACCGTCCAGAGGTATACACGCTGATATCATGCAGTCTTGGCCTCGATATCCTCATCTAACCAGGACGATATCGTATGGAATGCGACGATCAAGAAACAGGATTGTGCTTCGGCTGCAGAGGCCTTCCGTGGGTTCTGTGTGTCAATGAAATGTACCGATGGTGTCTTTTCTTGAATGTGATATAAGGGTCATGTCTGTCCCCCGAACCCTATATCCCCATGGCTTGTCCTTGTCTCTCCTTTTTACTTCCTGATTATCAAATAGGGGACAGCGACCTGAACAACATGGGACTCGGCATGATAGGAACAATCCTGCTCGACCTCTCCCTCGTCGGACTCGTCTACGCCGCCGCGCTCATCTTCTACCGGCTCTCTCTCAGCCCATTGGCACGCTTCCCCGGCCCGCGTCTCGCAGCAGCCACCGGGCTCTACGAAATGTACTATCAACTCATCAAGGGCGGCATCTTCACCTGGCAGATCAATCGCCTGCACGACCAATACGGGCCGATCATCCGCATCAAGCCGGACGAGCTGCACATCCGGGACCCAGACTACTACGCGACGCTGTACTCGGGCCCGGGCACGCACCGCAACAAGGAGGCCGGCTTCAGCTTCATCGCCTTTCCGCAGTCCATTTTTTCCACCGAGGACCATGCGCTGCACCGCGACCGCCGCCGGGTGCTGGGCCAGTTCTTCAAGAAGAACGCGATCCGGCGGCTCGAGCCGGCGATCCGCGCCAACATCGCGCTGCTGGAGCAGCACTTCGCCTCGCTGGTCGACACGCAGGGGTGTCTGGAGCTGCACACGGCGTTCCAGTGCTTCACCTCGGACACGCTCTCGCAGTACTGCTTCGGCCGCCAGCAGGGGTTCCACTACCTCGAGCAGCCGGAGCTGTCCACCACCTGGAAGCTGCGCATCAACTGGATGTTCGAGTTCTGTCGCGTGAACCGCCATCTGCCGTTCTTGGTCGTGTTGGCGCGGCGCTGGCCCGCCATGGCGCAGCGGTTCTGTCCGCCGTTTGCGTATATCCTGGGCATGGAGCAGGTGAGTCTTTTCGGAGCGGAGCAAGAGCACCGGTCATTAACCAAGAGGTCCAAACGCCAGGACGTGAGAAGCTTCGTGCGCCACGCAATCCACCAACACCAAACATCCCCCTCAAAAACCGACACCACCACCACCACCACCACCACCACCCCCCGAGACCCAACCCCACCAATCTACCTGAGCATCCTCGCCGACCCCTCCGTGCCCCCCAGCGAAAAGGACTCGCCCCGTCTCGAAGACGACGCCATCTTCCTCATGATGGCCGGCACGGACGCCCCCTCCCAAGCCCTGGCCATCACCATGTTCCACATCCTGCACAACCCAGAAGTTCACCAACGACTCAAAGCCGAGCTCCTCGCCAACATCCCAGACATGCGCTGCATACCTGCACTGGAAACCCTGGAACAACTTCCCTTCCTTGTAACCCCCTCCCCTTCCTTCCGCCAGGTCTCATCCACCCTCCCTGCAACAACAAAACTAACACAAAAGTTTCCAGAGCGCAACCATAAAAGAAGGACTCCGCCTCTCCTCCATCGTCACGACGCGCCTGCCGCGCATCGCCCCGCACGAGACGCTGCGCTATCAGCACTGGGAGATCCCGGCTGGTGTACGCCCCCCCCCCTTCCCCTCAATCTCATAATTCCCCCTTCCCTTCAGAAACCCAGCCCCACAAAATGAGAAACACCCACCCCTCCCCATGCTAAGAACTGTGGGAAAACAAGACACCAGTAAGCATGTCCACCTACTTCATCCTCCGCGACCCGACCATCTTCCCGGACCCGACTTCCTTCCGCCCGGAGCGGTGGCTGCTCGCGCCGGACGACGCGCTGCGGCTCCAGCGGTACCTGGTGCCCGCGTCCAAGGGCACGTTGGGGTGTTTGGGGCAGAAGTCCGTTTTTCCCTCCCTTCCCCCTTCCAGTCCCGTTATCGTGTAGCACTAACATGCAGAATGCGATGGGGTGTGGTGTGTGCAGCATGAACTCCGCCTGGACGCACCTCGTCCTGGCCACGCTGTTCCGGCGCTACGACCTCGCGCTCCACGACACCACCGCGGCGAACGTGGAGATGACCCGCGATAATTTTATCGGGCAGACGGCGCCGGGGGCGAATAATGTGCAGGTTAGGGTTTTGGGGGTGGTCAATTGATTTTGTGTCCCAAGGGGGAGGGAGTTAAGGGTAAGGTAGCTAGTTTGTTGAGCTGGGTTGGGTTTGGCTGTAGCTTTCTGGTCAGTAAGTATGGTGATGGGGATGTGTTGGAGTGCTTGAGGGTGAGTCTGGTGGGTTGTTTTCTGTCGGTTGATGGGGAGGGGAATGAGATGTTGTGTTTTGATTTGGTTTAGTTGGTCCACAGATACTTGCAAGGTCATGGGATAGGTTTAGTAGTCTATAACGCAAATCATTCGAAAGAGATCTAGTCTAGATTGAACAAATCTATAGTCAACACCACATCATAACGGTTCAACGAACCTTCTCAATAACCATACTATACTATGGACTTCTCGTATAGAAATGCCCCTTGGGTATTATATACGCGAAAAGTGAAGAAATGACCGCTCATGAAGGGGAACCTTTGGGCTGGGTGATTAGCCTCGTCCCAAGGCTAGCTGACACGGTGGGTGGTACTTGTGATACCGCAAACGCATCACTAAGCCAGTCGATCATGCTCGAGCTTCTTCCGCATCGCGCCGTGGATGCGCTTCTCGCGCAGGATCGTCCACAGACACACCACCAGTCCGGCCAGGCCGGAGAAGAACGTAGTGTAGTAAGCAGCCTGGTAGCAGGCCAGCCCATCCGGGCATTCCCGGTCGCCGTCCGGGCCAACCACGGAGTGATGGTCGTAGGTGTGCCCGTAGAGCAGGTTGAACACGTTGCCGCTGAGCACGGGGGCCATGGTCATGACGCCCCAGTTCTGCGAGAGGCCGTTGATGCCAAAGTTGTGCGCGACCAGGGAGGGGAACACGCCGAAGAGGAACCCGTAGGCGATGCCCGTGAAGCCCGACACGATGGCCAGTTGGTGGGGGTTCGAGATCGACGACCCAGCGAGCTGGGTGATGGTGAAAACGAGAGCGGACATGAACAGGCACCAGAAGCGGGACATGTTCAACTTCTTGACCAGAAGATCGGAGCCGATCCCTGCAGGTTACACAAAGGCGTTGAGCGGATGAGCCAAGGCAGGGCGTGGGGTGTCAGCACTTACCACTCAAGAGACGACCGGTGAAGTTGCCAAAAGACAAGATCGAGACATGCATGACCTGTCGCTGCTGGATGAACTTCGAGCTTGCGCTGTCATCGTAGTATTTCCAAAGTGCCTTGGCCTGCGCAGGTTAGCATCCCACCGTACCGGACGAAAAGGAAGGTCTTACGCTGTTTCCGATGTTACTGGTATGCGGTTAGTCTTCATGCACAGTCAACGGGGTCATCATGGTACTAACTTGATTGTCATCAGGCCAATGCCAGACAGCAGCGCCATAGTCAGGAAGAGCTGCCAGAACTCGACCCTCGAAAGCATCGCCAAGCCCCTGACGTCTGGATGAGGTGAGTCGGGGGCAACATCAGACATGGCATCCTCTTCAAGCTCCTCCCCTTCATGCTCAGGCAGGGATTCGTGGGACGTTCTGAATGGGACTTTGGGTACCAGGGAAGAGGTCTCGTTAACATCGGGGTTGTGGCTGAGGGCAGTAGGGTTCGACGCGTTCGATTGCGACCTGGTATGGACCGGGGGCTGGGAGTCCGAGACAGTATATTTTTGCGTACCTGCTTCATCAGAATTGTCATGGCCGGGTCGCAGCTCGTTGGACCTCGCTTTGCGCAGCCGACGTGATTCCACTCCGGGCGATCGGTCTCGGCCGAGAGATATGTACGCGTCTACGGGTGGGAGGATTCGAAGAAACGGGATCGAGATCAGGTTCAGAATACAAGTCCCCAGCGCCAACAGGAGGAGAAAGCGACCAGTGTCATCCTTGAAGAGAACGCTCGATATCGTCGACCAGAAGAAGGCGCTTAAGCCGAAGGCCGCCAACGGAAACGCAGTCGCCGTTCCACGGTGATCGGGGAAATTCGACGCCGCTGCAATCGTGGTGTCTTAGCACATGGCCGACACGGCACAGCCAACATGAACTCACAAGTCTTGATAGATGCTGAGAATGCGGAGGCACTGCCGAAGCCGGTCAAGAAACTGAAGAAAGCCAAGAAAATGGTGCTGAGAGAGCCTGGCCCGCCCTCATGTGCTGCGCTCATTGACTGGAATTAGCAGGGGATCTTCTGCACCACAGGGAACACCAGCGCCTACCCAGATAGATGGGATAATAGCCCAAGCCGAGGCTGATGGCTCCCAGGAAGGTCGTCAGACGGGGGCCCCGAGCATCAGTCAACAGTCCCAAGGGGATGCCTGACGCATACATGCCCAGATTTCCCGCAGCACCCTGGAATTTGTGAATCTCACGATTGACATAGTTGGAAGAGCAGCAGGCAGCTTGCTTACAATGAAGTTGCTTTTCGTTGCGGAGATTTTCATCTGTTCCGCGAACTGAGGCGCCCATGCGGAGTATGCATACTGGGTCTGATTAGAACTCGCGCGCACGATTTATCCGATGGTGGATGGATACCTACATTCGTCCCACAGGCGAGCGCAACCACAGTTGCTGCTATCACGGAGATGAATCGCTTCGTTTGATGCGATGAGGGCGCCATTTTGCAGTCTTTGGGTGCCGTTTGCGCCAGGAAAGCCAGGTAGCGGGCTTCACATGCAAAGAAAAGGTGGGGAAGGAGGTCGCAAGAAAGCGAGTTGTCTATTTGTAGCCTCGACTCGGAGTGTTCCACGGATGGTGCAGGAGAGAAACGTTATCACGTCACGATAACCGCACAGAAGGCCGAACGCAAGGAGACGGACGGGACTAGTTGTAGTTTGGTGGTACTCAGATAGGTCACCTAGGACTCGAGGAGTATATGACAGCGCCAATCGAGGTAAACGAATGTAGACGGTGTAATCAACTGAAAAAAGGAAAGAAGAAAAGCTGATCAACGAGTGGAAGCGCGTAGAGAGAAGATAAGATACGCAAGTAATGAGCGACAGCAAAGGGAGGGGAGGATTTTCCTTCGCTCCAAGTGTCTTGTTTCGAATCTTTCCCTTCCCCTCGGGGGGGACTCGTAATCGGGTGGATTGGAAGATCGCGCCGTCCTCGGCCTCGACTCCGCACTTACGCTGCACTGGCAGTGGCGCTGGCAGTTCGGACTTGTTGTCAGGGCCAGTCGCTTATCGCCGATAAGCCCCAAAAAGGGGGCCTGACCGTTCGCAGGCAGTTTCTCCGATGCCGGCGGTGAGTCTCACATGACGAAGGCGGCGGCGACAACAACCAACCGCTAACATTAACTTACTTGCTGCCTGCCTTGCTTGGTCTGCAGTCCCTGCCACAAACTACTTACACTTCTTGTTCACCACTTGCAGTACTGCTACTGTGTAGCGCTATTGATATCAAATCAGTCCTCGAGCAGACAGACATAGAGGCATTGAAGGTCCATCATGGGTGCCCTTCTGTCTCTGCCTTTGCTGGCAATTCCGAGTGCCAGCACGGTACGTAATCCCATCCTCATCGCCCGTCTCCCCACTAATCGCGACACAGCTCATCACCCTTGCGACTTCCTGCTGCGGCGCCGCGACCTGTTCTGCAGTATGTAGCGCATGTGGCAAGTTTCAGAACAGGTGAGACCTATGGCGTATGCTTATCGTAGAACGCGAATCGAAGACTGACACCGCGCAGCATGGCGACGAGAATTGCCTACGCTTTCATCCTCCTCTTCAACTCAATCGTATCCTGGATCATGCTCACGCCATGGGCGCTCAAGAAACTTCAGCATATGACCTTGGACTACATGGAAATCCGGTGTGATGGCAAGGAATGTCACGGCTGGGTAGCGGTGCATCGCATCAACTTCGGTCTTGGCCTGTTTCATTTGATCCTCGCCCTCGCCCTGCTCGGGGTGAGATCCTCCAAGGATGGCCGTGCCGTCCTGCAGAATGGGTTCTGGGGTCCGAAGATCATCCTGTGGCTCGCTCTCGTGGTCACGTCATTCTTCATCCCGGAATCGTTTTTCTTCGTCTATGGCCACTACATCGCCTTCTTCTGCGCCATGCTTTTCCTGCTCCTCGGGCTGATCCTCCTTGTGGACCTGGCCCACTCTTGGGCCGAAATCTGCCTGCAGAAGATCGAGGACCAGAACTCCCGGACTTGGCGCGGTCTGCTCATTGGCTCGACCGTGGGCATGTACCTGGCATCGCTCGTCATGACGATCCTGATGTATGTCTTCTTCGCCCACAGCGGATGCTCCATGAACCAGGCTGCGATTACGGTAAGCGACTTGCACTGTGCTCACCTTATGGTCTTGTTCCTCTTGCTGACGTCGCACTCCAGATCAACCTCGTCATCTTCCTGATCATCTCGATCATCTCGGTGCAGCCCATTGTGCAGGAGTCCAACCCCCGCGCGGGACTGGCCCAGGCCGCGATGGTGACGGTCTACTGCACGTATCTGACCATGTCAGCTGTGTCCATGGAACCGGATGACCGGCACTGCAACCCGTTGATTCGGGCGCGGGGCACCCGCACCGCTAGCATTGTGCTGGGCGCGATCGTCACGATGGCCACGATCGCATACACCACAACGCGGGCGGCCACTCAGGGGATCGCGCTGGGGTCCAAGGGCGGGCATAGCTATTCGCAGCTGCAGTCTGATGACAACGAGCATGGCCTCGTGACCCAGCAGCCCAGCAGCCGGCGGGAGATGCGGGCCGAGGTGCTCCGTGCGGCGGTGGCCAGCGGCAGCCTGCCCGCCAGCGCCCTCGACGAGAGCGACGACGAGTCCGATGAGTACGACACCAAGGACGACGAGAAGGGCTCGACGCAGTACAACTACTCCCTGTTCCACATCATCTTCTTCCTGGCGACCACCTGGGTGGCCACGCTGCTCACGCAGAACCTGGACCCCGAGGCGGCCGACGACTTTGCGCCTGTGGGCCGGACCTACTGGGCCAGCTGGGTGAAGATCATCAGCGCCTGGGTGTGTTACGCGATCTACCTGTGGACTTTGATTGCCCCGGTGGTTCTGCCCGACCGCTTCGATACCTATTAGGGATGTATTCAGGGGGGTGTAATGTAGTATAGCCGCGTATTCTTTGGCGTTGAGCGTTGCTTAGCGATTTTGTCGTTTCGTTCGTTCTGAGCTTGTTGTATATATTTCTGGCACGAGTATGCATGATTTCACCAGTGGGTCGTATCTTATCTTGCTCAGTAAATTTGCCTTAATACGTAGGTCCGCGTAGTTGATGCAGACAGTGTACTGCATGCAGTATAGATAGCGGGGGAGCCGCGGGCTGATTAGTTATCGGGGCCGCGTAAAGTGGGTGACCGTGACCGCCGGACGCGCAACCACCGCGTGGAGAGCACTGTGCTGTCCCCAGAATCCAAAACAGTACAGTCATGGCATGAACATGGCGACCATCAAGGCCATCGAGGCCCGCTCAGTGCGTTTCCCCTTTCCCCGTTCCTAACAATCTCACCAGTTCTCTAACCACTACCCACCACCAAAAATATAGGTCCACCAAATCCAATCCGGCCAAGTCATCACCGACCTCTGCTCCGTCGCGAAGGAGCTGGTCGAAAACAGCCTCGATGCCGGCGCCACCTCCATCGGTGCGGCCCCTCCTGTAATTCCGTGGACTTAGACACGTTAGACGCTGCAGCAAGGTACTGACCAAGTGATTTCTGGCAAAGAGGTGCGCTTCAAAAACCACGGGCTCGATCTCATCGAAGTCCAAGATAACGGCGGCGGGATCGCGCCGGAGAACTATGAGAGTCTGGGTGGGCCTTCCCCCAACCCAACCCTGTTGACTTGCATTACGATACTGCGATATGATATGGAACTGGATGGAATTGCTAAAGCTGACGCTGGCGCAGCGCTCAAACACCACACCTCCAAACTATCGACCTTTACCGACCTGAACACGCTGCACACCTTCGGCTTCCGCGGCGAGGCGCTCTCCTCGCTGTGCGCGCTGTCCACCTTCCACGTCGTGACGGCCCAGGCGCACCAGGCCCCCAAGGCGACGCGGCTGGACTTCGAGCCGTCCGGCCGGCTCCACAGAACGCAGCTCGTGGCGGGACAGAAGGGCACGACCGCGGCGGTCGCAAATATCTTCCGGGGCCTGCCGGTGCGGCGGCGCGAGCTGGAGAAGAACCTCAAGCGCGAGTACGGGAAGGTCGTGAGCCTGCTGCATGCGTACGCGTGCATCAGCACGGGGGTGCGATTCAGCGTGCGCAATACCACGACCACCAAGAGTGGTGGAGGTGGGCGGAATGTGGTGGTGTTCAGCACGAATGGGAATGCCACGACCAAGGCCAACCTGGCGAACGTGTACGGGGCGAAGACGCTGGCGGCGTTGATTCCGCTGGAGCTGCAGCTGGAGTTCGCGGGCGGCATCACGGTGCGCGGCCATGTCTCCCGGCCCGTCGTCGGGGAGGGGCGCCAGACGCCCGATCGCCAGATGTTCTTTGTGAATTCACGGCCCTGTGCGCTGCCGCAGATCGCGAAGGCGTTTAATGAGGTCTATCGCTCGTTTAATGTCGCGCAGTCGCCGTTTGTGTTTGCCGATTTGGGAATGGATACAGCGGCGTATGATGTTAATGTGTCGCCGGATAAGCGGACGATCTTGCTGCATGATGCGGGTCTGTTGATTGAAGAGTTGAAGAGGGCGCTGGTGGAGTTGTTTGAGAGGGCCGAGCAGACGGTGCCGCAGGCGCAGGTGGTGGCCGCGGGGCGGCAGTCGCGGTTGCAGAGTCTGGGCTCTGGTCGGGCGGGCGCGGGTGATGCTGAGAAGGGTGGGGAGGAGGATGAGATGGAGGAGGAGGATGATGGGAACAAGCCACAAGTCAAGCTACAGGGAGCAGCGCACGCCAATGCCCAGGATCGGATGAAGAGCTTCTTGAGTGGACTTGGGGCTGGAGGAACCCGTGCTGAAGAGCCCGCTGACGATGCCTCGAACGAAACACAAGAAGCTGTGTCTGCGGAACCAGAACCTCAGCCTGACTTGTTGGAGGAAGAGGCAGAAGAAGACAACGAGCTCTTTGTGCGGCAGAGCGGCACGCCACCAGTTTCTGGCGAGATGGCTCATTCGCAGGACGAAGTGCCTGGCGGCTCAACACAGGACGCCCAGGCCGCCGCTCCGTTAAGTCCTCCAATTCCCTCGACGCAAGACTCGGAGATCCCGGAAGAAACGCCGAGTATCGTGCAGAATGCCTTCGATCGCATGCGGCCCAGGCGCATGCCGGCCGAGATCGCCACGATCACCATTGGTAACCGGACCGTCACCACTGTGATAGGAAGTGGTGTCCCGAAGAAGAGATTCAGTGATTCCACTGGGTCAAGCGCCTCTACCAGGAAGAGGCGGATACACACGCCGTCCCGGCCGAGTATTTTTGGCAAACATATGCGCGACTTCGCCGCCCCGGGGTCTCAGCTGGCGCAGGACGAGATTGAGGGGGATGATGAGATTGAGGATGAGTACTCCGACGAAGTCGAAGAGCAAGATGAGGTGGAAGAAGATGCTGAGGTAGACGAGATGGAGGAAGATGATGCAGAGCAGATGGAAGAGACCGGCTCTGAAGCTTCTGCGCACTCCGACCATGAAAGTGAACACCCTGACGCCGCTGCAGATGAGGCAACCGATGAGAACGAAACTCTCACACAACCCGCGCAAGAACATATGACCGAGGAAGAGAAGAAGCAACACGAAGAGGCCGAAGTGCAGCGGTTGATTCAACAGGCGGAGGACAGGGCCGCCCTCCCGCACAACAGCGAAAAGCGCGCTATCAAAATGAACAAGGGCGCCGCTCACCGCGACTCCACGGTCCAGCTCGTGACCACCGTCGACGGCTCCCTACGCAAGATCCAAACCCGACTCAGCCAACTCCAGACCTGCCTTCGTCGCGCGGAAGCCGACACTACACAGAACCCAGCCGAGGTGGCGGGAACCCAGGCAACCGCGGAAGAGCGACTGTCGCTGACGGTCAGCAAGGACGATTTCGCGCGGATGCGGATCATCGGACAGTTCAACCTGGGGTTCATTCTGGCGACTCGACCCGGCGCCGGCGCCCACAAGGACGAGCTGTTCATCATCGACCAGCACGCCTCGGATGAGAAGTACAATTTCGAGCGGCTGCAGGCGGAGACGGTGGTGCAGAACCAGCGGCTGGTGCGGTCCAAGCAACTGGACCTGACGGCGGTCGAGGAGGAGGTGGTGATCGAGAACCAGGCGGCGCTGGAGAAGAACGGGTTCGTGGTGGAGGTGGACGACAGCGGGGACGAGCCGATCGGCCGCCGCTGCCGGCTGGTGTCGCTGCCGCTGAGCAAGGAGGTGGTCTTCGGGGAGCGCGACCTGGAGGAGCTGATCGTGCTGCTGTCAGAGATGCCCGCGACGAGCGGGAGGGAGGAAGTGCCCCGCCCGACCAAGGTGCGGAAGATGTTCGCCATGCGGGCGTGTCGGTCGAGCATCATGATTGGGAAGAACCTGACGACGAGGCAGATGCAGCGGGTGGTGCGCAACATGGGCACAATCGACAAGCCGTGGAACTGTCCGCATGGGCGGCCTACGATGCGACATCTGATGAGTTTGGGGGAGTGGGATGAATGGGATGAATGGGGGGCGGGGGAGTTTGAGGGGCGAGATCGGTTGGATATTTGGCGGGAGTACTTTGATGAGGAAATGGAGGAGGAGGATTGACTTGGACAGAGGTCCATGCCTTCGGATTGACATCGGTATACCGCTCAGGATCCACCATGTATATACGTTGGTCACTCAAAACAACTTTCTATCGCACATATCCACACATCCACCACCAACCTCTACTCCTCAAACCCAATCGAATGCGCAATCTCCCGCATCTGCTCCAGATTCTGCTGTAAGGTCTCCACCTTGGCCTGAAACCGTCGATAACAGTCCTCGCCCAACGGCACGCGCAACAGCCCATCTTTGCCCCGGCCCAACCCCGTCCCATCCACCACCTCGACAATCCGCTGCGCCGCCTTGCCCGGATCGGACCCCCCCGTTGCTTCTCCCGTCCGATTCCCCCTAAACTTGGTGAGGATCGTCTCCACCGGCGTCCCCGCATACTCCGGATTCAAGCCCGCGGCAGGCTCCACAAACGCCGCCCAGAACCCGGTCCGCAGCGTGCCGGGCTCGACCAGCAGCACGCGGATCCCAAAGGGGGCGAGTTCCTTGGCCAGGCTCTCGGACATGCCTGCCCCACGCATTAGCCCAAGCCCAACTGAGACCTCTCAAGCCCCCATCCCCGAGGGGAAAGGGGAAAGGGGAAAGGGGAAAGGGGAAAGGGATACTCTACTCACCTTCCATCGCGAATTTACTGCCCGCATAAACCGCACACGTCGGCAACCCATCCACGCCGGCACTGCTCGAGATATTGACGACGGTGCCGGATCGTCGTTCCCGCATGCCCGGCAGCACCGCCTGCAGCACGCGGATCGCCCCGAACACGTTCGTGTCGAATTGCGCGTGCACTTCCGAGAGTGTCATGTCCTCGATGCTGCCTAGCAGGGAGTAGCCGGCGTTGTTGATGAGGACGTCGACGGGGGCGTGTGCGGCGAGGGCGGTGACGAGGGTGGACGTGGTGTCCGGGGAGGTGATGTCCAAGGGGAGCCAGGTTAAGTTGGGGTGGGCTGTGAGCGTAGGGTTGGCGATGGAGGCTTGGGCGGGATTGCGGGCTGTTGCGAGCACGGTGTGTCCTGCGCGTAGGGCGGAGTGGGCGAGGGCCGCGCCGAGGCCGCTGGATGCGCCGGTTATTAGGTAGGTTGGCATTTTGGGGGGTTTTAGGGGGATCTTGGG